ATCCTAATTACTTTGTACTAAAAAAAAAAAAAACTTCAGTCCATCGCTATTTTTTTTGGTGAAGTCAAGGGACAAGCCTCAGAAGAAAAGGAGAACTACAAGAAACTAAAAAAAGAAAACAATAGCAAACGAAAACAAAAACAGCAACACAACATACAAAACTAACAACCTATACCCTAAGACTAAGGGTCTTCCACCGGCACCAATCTGGCTAGTGTCACACCACTCAAGTCCTCTAATAAAACGGTTCGAATATCCTTTAAAACCGCCTCAAAAATAACCAATCATTACTTCACAAGACCGCAAAGACACCGTAGTTTGCTAACCAATCTGCCACTCTATTAGCCCACAGCCCCACAATAGCAATGATGAATGTTAATTATCCACCCTATACCTTTCAAAAAACAAACTGATATAGAACACTGAGAGCAACATGGGCTCCCTCATATAAGCCCAACCCAGCCCATAATAAAACAAAGTATTTGAAAACCCTAGTATAAGTTTTATACTTCCATAGCAGCATCTGAAGTTGAGAGGAGAGAGAAAGAGAGTGAGTGAAGCTCAGACATTTGCAATGGCGGCGAAGCAGAGGAAACCTCGAGTGACCCGAAACCCAGAATTGGTGAAGGGAGTAGGGAAATTCTCCCGATCGAAAATGTACCACAAGCGTGGTCTTTGGGCTATCAAAGCTAAAAACGGCGGCGTTTTTCCTCGCCATGATCCTAAACCAGCCGAAGCTAAGCCAGCTGAAAAGCCCTCGAAGTTCTACCCAGCTGATGATGTCAAGAAGCCATTGATTAACAAACGCAACCCGAAGCCTGCTAAACTCAGGTTGGTTATCTCTCGATTGTTTGTTCTTTCTTTCAAGGGATTTGGTTGTGATGTTGAATGTATGAATTGGGTTTTGTTTTTTCAGAGCTAGTATTACCCCTGGTACGGTTTTGATCATTCTTGCTGGGAGGTTTAAGGGGAAGAGAGTCGTCTTCTTGAAGCAGCTTCCTTCTGGATTGCTACTTGTCACTGGTCCGTTTCTCCTATAACTTTAATTTTGGACCGTTTTGATCTACATGTATAATGGAAGTGTTGCGGTGTGTTTAATGGTATACATAACGGTATATATAATGCTGAAAAGATTGATAGCTTTATGTTGCTAATTGTCTGATTATAGTTGTTTTGGAGGAGTTTTGGAAAATAAATGATCTTGCCTGTTTGCTGCTTAATACTTAGATTTTTAACCCCTCTTGATCATTTGAAAGTCTAAGTTAATCAAAGCCTAAAACGGAAATTATGGTGTATTGCTTGAGCATGCTTCCAATAGTGAATTATCTTTCAAATCAGACCTGATGTAGTTGGTGTTTTATGATATGTTCATTTAATTTAATGGAAGCCATAAATTCCTATGTTATCTTTCCTCTGTTTTATAGATATTGTAACATTTTTAGTTTGAATGTTCCAAATACACAATTTAACCATTAAAATCTTTAATTATTTAGGAAAATTTGTCAAAACAGACCTTTTCAAGTGGTCTTAATGTGACAAAGTACCTTCCATAAAAAAGAGTGGCAAATTAGGACTCTTTTTTTCCGTGAGGAGGGACTCTTTCTCGAATTAGGCGTTTGACTATTATTTTCCAGCGTTGACTTTCATGTGCCAAACTTGGGGACATAACTTTTGCCTCTGTTTTTGTCCCTTCTCTTCCCTAACCACCATGTCCACCAACCCATTATCATTTCACCGCCATTCCGCCTCCAGCCTGCCACTTTCCCACCACCGTCGCCATTTCTTTCCCCTCTCAACAATGTCTCTTCTAACTTTTTTCCTTCTACCATTGAAAGTCACCCTGAATCAAATAAAATCAATTAAATTTGATGAAAAACCCTCTTTTCTATATTGAGCTACAAGGATAATGGAATGTTGTATGAATAAGCTTAAAAGTAAAGCCCAAAAAGGAATGAGAGATTTGCATGGGTTGCAGCTTGCAGTTGGCAGCGTCAGATTCTTAATCTTGTTTACTTCTAACTTCTTCCCTTATACCTGTAAGTAATAAAAGAACTAAAATCAAATGTTCTTGTGTGACTTTGGGAATAAGTCGAAGAGAACAAGTTATATGTTTTACTGTACTTGTAGATCATAATAGATGGTAAAAAAGGAGGGTGTCAAATATGTCAATAGTACAAAAGTCTAAATGTTGAAATTTTTATGGATGGATGATGTAAGAGCTCTAATAAAATGCTTGTGTTTTTTGTCATTTACTAATTTTTGTAGTGTTACAGGACCTTTCAAAATTAACGGTGTCCCCTTAAGGCGTGTGAACCAAGCTTATGTGATTGCAACCTCAACCAAGGTTGACATTTCTGAAGTTAATTTGGAGAAGTTTGCTGATAAGTACTTTGCTAAGAAGACTGAGAAGAAGAAGAAAAAGGGAGAGGGGGAGTTTTTTGAAGCAGATAAGAAGGTTTGGCATTCTGCCTCATGCATCCTCTTGCTCTTGTTTGTTGTTGAAAGTTGGCATAATGGCTATTGTTTCTAAGCTGATTATGTAATTTCTGACTCATTTTTGTTTTCTGTTCTGAATGCAGGATGAAAATGTTCTTCCACAAGAGAAGAAGGATGATCAAAAAGTTGTTGATGCGTTGATTGTGAAGTCAGTTGAGGGAGTGTCTGACTTGAAAGCTTACTTAGCTGCAAGATTTTCACTGAAGGCAGGCATGAAGCCACATGAATTAGTTTTTTAAGGTCCAAGTTTTGGACTGTTGATTTTGCTTTGTTAATCTGTGGTTTTGTATGCTCGCATATTGGCAGTACTTCCTGTATTCCTCCGTCCCAGTTTGCAGTAGACATGGCTTACATATATTTAGATAATGAAATTTATTAAGGAATATTCTTTGGTCGACCCTTCTCATCTAGATAGGTTTTTCATTGCAATCAATGAAATTACAATGAAATGCTCAAAGAGTAAGGTAACATGAATGCCTGTTTCTGATCTGCGGTACATCAGTACATGTCTGGTTTTTGCTACTTCGTACTTTGATTTTGTGGTGGGAGGTGCATTGCATGTTGGCAAACCGTCTCTTTGGTGTTTATTTGCAAGCATTTGATAACAAAAATTAAGAATTCTCTTGAGGATTTTTAAAAGGGAGTGTTGTTATGTACTACCTCCGTTAACGATTATTTGCAACATATGCTAAAAATGGACGCTAACTATTATTTGCAACAAACTTATTTCTTTCTTATTTTAGTAAATTTTTTTTTGTCAAAATGACAAAAATACCCTCATTTAAAAATTATTAACACATAATACTACACATAATTACAAATCATTATAACTCTAATCTAAATTAATTATGTATGTCTTCCCACCCTAATGATCAGATTAATCTCAATTCATCTCCCCAATTATCTTTCTCTCTCCTCCTTCATCTCTCATTTCCTTTTCTTCATCTCTCATCAAATTCCAAAACTTTGTTAAAGGAGGTTTCAGATCTAGTTGTTCGTCGCTGGTTTGCTTGTATTTGTGGTTGGATTTGGTGGTTTGTGGGTGGGTTAGCAGGTTTGTGGGGGTGCATTGTGGGTGAGTTTGCTGGGTTCGTGGGGGTTGGTTTTGGTGGTAGTCGAAAGGTTTCGGTGGTTCGTGGTTGGATTTGGTGGTTTGTGGGTGGGTTTGAAGGGTTCGTCGGTGGTTCATGGTTGGATTTGGTGGTTTGTGGGTGGTTTGAAGGGTTGGTTTTGGTGGTACTCGAAGGAATTGGTGGTTTGTGGGTGGGTTTGAAGGTTCGTCGGTGGTTTTGCTGGGTTCGTCGTTGGATTTCGGTGGTGGTTTTGAGTTGTGGGTTTCGGTGGCTTTGGTGGTTCCTGGGTTTTCGTGGTGATTAGTTGTGGGTGTCGGTGGTTTTAGTGATTCTGGGTTTTGGGTTTGCTGGGTTCGTGGGTGGTTTAATTTGTTGGGATCGTGGGTGGTTTGTTGGGTTCGTGGTTGGGTTTCGGCGGTGAAGGTTGGATTCATGGTTGGGTTTCGGTGATTTTGGTGGTGTTTTGGATTCTGAGTGTCGATGGGTTTGGTGGTTATGGTGGGTGTCGGTGGTTTTGGTGGTGGTTCTGGTTTTGAGTTTCGGTGGTGATATGCTTTTGTTTAATTGTTTTTTTTTAGGTAGGATTAATACTTAACCAAGTACCCTTTATTTTTCAATAATCATGCCTTAAAAGTTTTGCCTTGGCCTCCGCGAAAAGTACAATTGTTGCAAATACTCGTTAACGGAGGTAGTATTTGTTAGTACATAATAAGGACATAATGACAACTTAGTATAACAATATAGGTGATGAAGTCAAATATTATTACTTTAACTTTCAGGTTTTAGTTGTACCACTGTAGTTGTTATAGTATCATTAGAACCAATTATAATACCATTACATTACCAATGACATGATTGCTCAACTTAGTGGTACATATATTAGTTTCAAAAGAATACCATTGTAACAATTTTTAATACCATTACAATTTACAACCACTTATAGCACTATTCAACTATCAATGGTATATTTTACATCTTAGTAGCACCAATGTTAATGTTTAAAATATATACAAATTTATCATGTTATATACTAACAAATACATAACAACATTGTAATACTACTTGTTCAATTTGCTGGGCATTTTTGGTGTGTGGTTGAGGGAATGTGGATGATTCATCTGGTTGGGTCTTGAAAAAAACAATAGAAATATGAATAGGTGATAGCCAATACTAAATGATGGTAATAAATAAACCCGATGGGTAAGCATACTTAATAATCATCTGTATTTCTTTTCAACCAACAACAAAATCAACGTCTACCTTTTTTTGTGGTATTGACTCCAATTTCTGTAGGAAAGTGTGGAGAAACTCACTCAAATCCGTCTTTGACTCGTCATCCAAGTTAAGAAAGACTAGAAAAATGGATAAGAGTGGCCTTGATTAGTCTCTTTTTCTGACTATGAACAAAAATCTGAAGAGGTAGCTGATCATGATTTATAGGGGTTCAGGTTGATAAAACTGCAGAAATAAACTGCATGATTTTGTGCTAGTATACAAGTGTAATACAACCATATGAAAATGTCATATTTCTTCTTACTTCCTACAAAAGTCCTGCTGTCTATGCTATATCTCAGCATGGCTTGGTTTCCCTTGCTGGTAAGTTCCGAAAATCCGATCTCAGAACAGGCAATCCTGCTGAAAATCAAGCAGCAGTGGGGTAATCAACCCTCAATGCAACAATGGACTTCAACCAGCTCCCCATGCCTTTGGCCCGGAATAAATTGCACCGGTAGCGAAAGCATAACCGGAATCTCCCTGAATAGCCAAAACATCGACGGAGAGATCCCTTCGTCCATTTGTGATCTCAAAAATCTCACCTTCCTTGATCTTGGAAACAATTTCATCCAAGGTAATTTCCCCACTTTTTTATATAATTGCACCAAGCTCCAAACATTAGTCCTAGCTTCGAACTACTTTGTTGGGCAACTGCCAAATGATATAAATAAGCTTTCTCCTAATCTTCAACACCTTCATCTTAGTGAGAACAACTTCACTGGTAGTATCCCTGCTTCATTGGCTCGACTCGAAAGGTTGATCACCTTGCATTTGGATTCCAATTTGTTCAATGGTACATTTCCTTCACAGCTAGGAAATTTGGAGAACCTTGAAGAATTGGTGTTAACTAACAACCCATTTACCCCTATGAAAATTCCCAATGAATTTGGAATGCTTAAGAGCTTAAGGTTTCTTTGGATGGAAAAATGCAATTTGATTGGTGAAATTCCAAATGATTTTGCTAGCCTTAAGAGCCTTGAGCATTTAGACTTGGTGGAAAACAACTTGCTTGGCGAAATTCCAAGTGGGTTGTTCTTTCTCACGAACTTCACATACATTTACTTGCATAAAAATAGGCTATCAGGGGGAATTCCAGCCTCGATCAACTCTTTGAATTTGAAGGAAATCGATCTCTCGAACAATAATCTGACAGGAACAATCCCTGAAGGATTTGGAAATTTGCGAAACTTAGAAATCTTATACTTATTTCAGAACCAATTCTATGGAAGAGTACCACCAAGTATAGGCCTACTTCCTTCTTTGAAGAGTCTGAAGTTGTTTAGCAACCAGTTTTCAGGTCCACTTCCCCCAGAAATGGGCCGACACTCGAAACTCCATGGCTTTGAGGTATCAGACAATGCATTCACAGGCAAACTGCCAGAGAATCTTTGCTTCAACGGGAGGTTGTTAGGTGTTGTGGCATTCAACAATTATCTGAATGCGACAATCCCAGCTTCTCTAGGCCAATGCGACTCTTTGCTTGTAGTTTTACTCAGCAACAACAGCTTTTCAGGTGAAATTCCTAAAGGCTTATGGTCTCTGCTGCATGTTCAGACAATATTACTTAGCAACAACCAATTTTCAGGCCAGCTTCCTGAGCATTTGGCTTGGAACTTGAGTCGCGTGGAAATCAGCAACAACAAATTTTCAGGGGAAATTCCGTCGAGTGTAAGCACTTGGAGAAATTTACAGGTGTTCGCTGCAAGCAACAATATGATCACAGGTACTGTTCCATTGGAATTAACTAGCCTTGCGCGCCTTAACACTCTCTTGTTCGATGCAAATCAACTCACAGGTCAGCTTCCTTCACAACTTATCTCATGGCAAAGCTTGAACAGCTTGAATCTCTCCTACAACAAGCTTTCTGGCTCAATTCCCTCGGTTCTTGGCTCTTTGCCTGTTCTTAATTATCTTGATTTGTCAGATAATCAATTTTCTGGCCAAATTCCACCCGAATTGGGCAGCTTAGAGCTCAATTCACTTAATCTTTCGTCCAATGAGCTTACTGGGAAGATACCTTATGGGCTTTATAACAGTGCATTCAAGGCTAGTTTCTTGAACACCAACCTATGCTCTGATGATAGAATTTTAGACCTCCCAAACTGCTCAATTCATCGAAAAAATCCAAAAAAGTTGTCCTCAAAATATATAGCTTTAATTATAGTCCTTACTATAGTTGCCTTCCTAGCTGTAATATACTTCATGGTGGTCATAATAAATGAAATCAGGCAACGAAAGAATAAGCAAGAACGCAATACATGGAAACTGACCTCTTTCCATAGGATACACTTCACAGAGCAGAAAATCCTTAACAACTTAACCGAGAACAACGTTATTGGGTTTGGAGGATCCTGCAAAGTTTACAGGATACCATTTAATCAATCAGGGGAAGTTGTCGCAGTTAAGAGAATATGGGACAGCAGGAATAAGAGCAACAGTTATGAAAAAGAGTTCACTGCAGAGGTCCAAATTCTAGGTACAATAAGGCATCTCAACATAGTGAAGTTACTTTGCAGTATTTCAACTGAAAACTCGAAATTGCTTGTTTATGAGTATATGGAGAAACAAAGCTTGGATAAATGGATCCATGGGAGTAAAAGACGAGCCATTTCATCGATTAGTGAGTCGGTCCATCATGCAGTTTTGGACTGGCCTACTAGAATGAAAATCGCTACTGACGCTGCTCAAGGATTAAGTTATCTGCACAATGATTGTTCACCTCCTATTATTCATAGAGATGTGAAATCCAGTAATATTTTGCTGGATTCCAAATTCAATGCCAAGATTGCTGATTTCGGGTTAGCAAAGATTTTGGCTAAGCCAGGAGAGTCTCACACAGTCTCTGTTGTTGCAGGATCTTTTGGATATATGGCTCCAGGTAAAACATCTAGCTTATTATTTCAAAGATGATTTCTAACAACTAATTCAAACTACTTAAAAAGCTGACAGAGAAGTCTTTGTTATCTGAAACTGAATTGCAGAATATTGCTGTACAACCAAGGTGGATGAGAAGATTGACATATACAGCTTTGGAGTAGTTTTACTTGAGCTAGTTACAGGGAAAGAGCCCCACATCGGAGATGAGCACTCAAATCTTGCTGAGTGGACGTGGAAGCATTACAGCGAAGGGAATTCAATTGAGGATGTTTTTGACAAGGAAGTGCAGGAGTCTTGCTACTTAGAAGAGATGAACAATGTGCTCAAGATTGGGTTGATGTGCACCAGCACATTACCTTCTTCAAGGCCATCAATGAAGCAGGTTTTACAGATACTTCAACAATGCAGCAATCTAGAAAATTCATATAGAGCTAAGGCAAGGAATGAACGCGGAATTGCCCCTCTTCTTGGCGGTGGAAATTCTATCTCTAGTATTCTAGTTGTATAAATTCCAACAGGACAATTAACATAGGATATCTATGACATGGTCTGAATTTGTACTCATGAGGACACAAGGCAGTGTGTTTTTTCAAAAGCTAAGTTCAATGAGAGCTAGGTAACAGGAAGTGCTGAAAATATGTCTTCCAATCGTAATCATATATACTTCATACTATTTTAGAATGTCCCAAACACTTCACATTTTCCCTTAGTCGTATCTTGTTTCAAGTTATGAGTTTGATTATACAGTTCCATGACTCATTACAGTTGTTGCAGTATTCCACAATTTTCCCTTTCCAGCTATCAAGTAATATAAGAGTAGAAATCCTCTATTTGTCTCGATGTATATTTTTCTAACTACTAGACTCTTAATACGAAAGTGAACCATATAATAAAATCTGATCTGATCCGGTGAACTGAATTTTTTGAGGTTCAAACTTATACCGAGAAAGATGAGAAAAAAGGAGCTGGAGGAAGATCAAAATAGGTAGGCAGACTAGCCAAAGTAGTCCTAGTCAAGAAAATCCAGCAGCAGAAAGGTTCAACATTTTGAACATTTCTTGATCAACCTTCTCCGGTTGTCACATCCACAAGAAGATTAGCAACAAATAATTTTCGAAAATCTTATTTTCCTCCTCTCATTGTTCTCTAGAATTACTTGTTTTCTAGAACACTGAGATTTTCAGTTTGTTACCCCATGAAAAGTCATATATCCACGAGGCAAAATTAGGAGTAATTTACGTTTAAATAAAATCATTTCACGAAATATTTTAACACCACCTGTATGCCCTCCATATCTGATACCGGAGTTGAGAACTTTCATGCTGTATGAAAAATGTAGCATGCATATAACTTATCTCAATCCTCAAATAAGAAATTCATATTTCATCAAAATTGCTAAAAATTAGCAGCCCATTATATAGTGTGTAAACTAGTGTATTTACATGTATTTCTGAACACTTCAAAACATTAAAACAAACTCCAGAACATAAATCCATCAATGTTGAGCCAACTAAACATAGAGAAAATCACATTGATCATCCACTAAATTCATACATCAAAGTCAGAAAATGCAGCAAGCCAAGTAAAAGAAGAAAATTCCAGTACTAACATTTTTATAATCTCATCAGAGATGGTACATAACCCAAGTTTACAAACTAAATTCATCACTTAAAATCTAGGTACTAATGCCGCAATAAATCAAACTTCTCAGTCACTCTTCATTGTAACAAACCTTTTTTTTTTTTTTTTAACTTTCATTTTTCATCTTTTTTCTTTTTTGTTAATTTTTTTTTTTTTTTTTTTTTTTTGGCTACAATACATAAATTCACTTCCTACAAGATGTAGCGGAGAGCCGGAGATCCCAATTTAGTCTGGTCTCAGTTATCTCCTGCCGATGACCATGGTTAAGGGTTCACAGTCTTCACACATCCACAGCAACAGGTGTGACGCTCTGAAGCAGCTTTAGAACAAGCAAGCTGCCTAGAGGGCCAGAGAGACCTGCTACAAGGGGTCCGCACGAACTACACCACATCCATAATCATACATATATCACAAATTACGGGCATGTGAACTCAGAAAATTGCAGTTCTTTTCTTCCGCACAACAAGATTCCAGTGCACCTGGAAAACCATAATTTAATCCAGCAGTAAATTTTTGGAACTTACCGAAGCTGCTGGACTTCTATTTACAAGTGCTTCATGATGAGTATTTCTAATATTCTGTTGCCATCAATCTCAGGTTCAACCTGCTAGAAGAAAAGAAAGGCCAGAGAACCAAACAACACAATACGTGGTCACTAAATTTTGCAATAAAAGAGAATGAGGTATTAATTTCATGCCTTGTGATTGGCTTCTGCACAACTTTTGTGGAATATGTAGTTCTACCTCGAGTTTCTATGGCCATGCCGACAGCAGTACTTGACTACAAAACAATGACAAGAGTAAAAAAAATGTTGTTAGGTTCAACAATAAGGAAGATAATCAAATAAACAAATGACTATTGTTGGGCCCTAGGCAAAACCAGGACCGGTAACATATTATGTTACTGATTGAATCTACATATTCGTAGCTAGAAAAAAACTGAAGAGACGGCTAGAAAAGCCATTAGAAAGAAACTTCTAGATACTCTACATATAGATTGATGGTAATGCAGATTCAAAATATTACAACACTAATCAATAGAATAGAGTAATAAAAAAATGAAAGATTGATTCTTCAGGATCTGTCCTTTCTTTAATTGAAAAGAACTAGAGATAAGATCAGACCGGGGGAGGAAGGCATCAATATATAGGAGAACCCAGAGGTGCTTAAAGGCAAGAGCTTCCTTTTCACAACAGTCCAAAGTCTACACATCCTAAACAGTGAAATCATGAAAAAGAGACTGACAACAAAACCACGACAAAAAAAGTCTCAAGTAATTAAAAATAATCCAGAGGATATGATGAAAGCCTCAAACCTCTAGCTCTTCCGTCGATCCACCCTGCAAAACATCAGTCCCGTCCAGAAATCCATTATCAGAATGCAAACCAGGATCAGCCCCACATAGATCATCCTGCAAAGACCCCTTTTTCCCTCACTAATTTCGAAACTTTACTATTCTCATGCCATCTGCCAGTTTCTTAACCCAAAGTCCTCATAACAGAGTAACTCACCTCATGATTGAGAGTCTGAGTGCCAGAGCTGGACTCAAAATGGACCCCATTTTCAGCTCCCTTGATCTGCTCACAATGATCCTTTACTTCATCAATATCATCCTTTGCAGCCCTCTCTATTAGGTCCTTTGCTCTACGGAAAGATTCAGTTTGAGAATTCTGAGAGTCAGAAATCTCTTCATCCTTTCTAACCAGACAAGCATCCATAATTCGATTACAGATGTCAAATGAAGCAAGATTCTCCTGGCTGGAGACGTCCTGCGACAGTGCATCCATTGTACGTGCTTCATTATCAACCACAGAAATATTATTAGTGATATCCTGCTTCTCCAGCAGAATGGTACTATGATTGGTACTGTCTAGCAGCACATTGTGCGAGTTCATACTTGTGTCACCATCCAAAAATGATGCTGTATCTTGCACGTGGCAAAGCATGTCTGAGGTAGAGCTCAAAGGTGACGGAGTGTAATATCTAGAATTGAACTCTGGAGAAAGAGTTTCCAGTCGTTGCGGACTGATAGATGCCTTCTTCTCAAGACGTGATGGTGTCAGATCCCCCATCTCAGAATCCGTACGCCTCTTGAGTGGTCTATCAGTAGACCCGGGGATATTCCCTTCAGCATCACCACACATTTTTTCAACCTGGTGACTCATGTGTCTTCGAGGTCGTTTATAGCCTTCAGGAAAAACATATGGAGGAAGCTGCTTTCTACGAACATGTGACACAAATATATCCATGCCAGGTTTCCAATACATATACATATTAACCTCCTGCCTGAACTCATCAACAGTTCCTCGAATATCAAACTGCTGACCTTCTTTGACTTTCACCCCTTGTTTCCTCTGCAAGCCCATGAAGAAAGCACAATGGGCACATTCCTTAGATGTGTCTACAAATTCATATGGATAAGGATGGCACTGTAACATGCCAAATGTGTCTCTCTCTATCTGCAGATTACAAGTAATAATCAATAAGAATAACATATGATACTACCTACAAGCTTAATGAGACGTAAAGTCGTAACTACTAAGGTACCAGGTCCAACTTGAAAGTTCAGCTAAAGCAATTACTCCATATTACCTTCAAGGTAAGCTGCCGAAGTCGAGATTCTACCCAGCCTTTCCAAGCCAGCAAATCATCTGCATCATCTGCAACGATATCAACTTGCAAGTAATTTTTGTACGACTCAAAGAAAAGGTATGGCTCAAAGAGGGTACTCCATTGGGCCTTTGTAAGCTCAATATCCTGCACAGGGACACATGCACAACAATCCATAAATAGCATGTCATCAAAGGGGATAAAGACAGACAAAAGAATCACATATGCTCTTACCTGACAAATTTTATTGCCATGCTCAAACTGCTCCATCATAACACGGAGTGTACTTGTTGAGACATTGTAGCTAGAATTCATGCACGGGTATGCAGGAGTAATAATTGGCATATGATGAGTGCGGTCCCTAGGATTTTTACGAGGGTCCCACACAGGGAAACCAAGATCCTCTTCTTCAATTGGACAGAGCATCACAGGATTTGGCCAGCGCCATTGAGTATAAACTCTAAAAAATCGAGATAGTAACATGCTAGGAATAGCGTTCGGATATAGTTGGCATACTCTAGCAACTAAAAGAGCCCAGTTCACCCCACCTAAAAATCCAGTCACCTACATCCGGAGGAATGTGAGATGTTCAAACTACTACACAACCAATTTGTCACTGATAAGCAAGATAAATCTTACATTTGAATAGACACCCCGTCGCTTAGCCCAAAATTTGAGACACCTTAGCGTTGTCCGGAAATGCTATAGCAATTGCACAGAGGTTAAGAAGCATCATCAAAAACAGCAAAAAAAAAAAAGTCCACAAAAAGTAAAACTGGCTACAAGAATATCGAGCATTCACCTCAATATTAGGAACCAGCTTAAGGATTTGGTCCGCAACTCGACATCCATTCAGACTACGAACTGTTTGCTCATCAACATTGTGAAGTACGGAACCCTGTGATATATCCAAGTCCTGGAAAAAAAATTACATTAGTAAAATAGTAAACAAATCAACATAAATAAAGGAGTGTGAAAACATTTACATTATGAAACTAATCTGAACGATTATTAAACCACTTTCGAAGTGAGCATAACCAAATAAGAGCATGAAAGAAAACTTCAGTGGCTAAACATATTCAACAGCATAAAGCACTCTCAAATATCAGAGTCAATCCACATCAGAGTCCATACAGCACATCGCGTATCTGCCTCTTGACTTTTCTGGCCAATGGATCAAGAATGACAACACAAACCAGGAGAAATCTGAGCCACACCATTCAAGAAAAACCAACATCCGCATTCTCATAACAAGTGAAAGAAGCAGCAGAGGGTGTTGTACCTTATTACTTTATGATATTTCATGCAGATCAGAAATTCAGAATGAAAAACCTAATATCATGCATGCAGGGTTCCATTCTCTTGGAGCCACAGGAGAAGGAAAATAAAACAATAGAGTAAAGATGGTAGCTCAAACAATTGGGAGGGTGCTGATATTACAATTCTCAAAATAAGATACAGGATCCAAATGACGAACAATTGACAAAACATAGAGAAGCATAATTTTGTTCTTTTTTATAGTCTTCTCAAGTGTAACCAACAAAAACCAAGTAGAACGTATACAGCAACATGCAAATATAGAATGATTCAAGGTCGAAATAAGCAAAGAGTGAAAATAAAACGGTAAAGAAAATAATCCAAGTGATAGAAAAATATGGAGTGGCATGTTGCTTACATCAGGAACAATCAGCATCGAAACACTTGCATAGAGGAGGTCAACAGAAACTCCTAGAAATTTGAATTTCATTACAGGGACATGAGCATCAGGGACTGGCTGAAGCTCAGTGACTTCTTCTAATTCAGCCAGAATGTCGTGCAGTATTATAAAGAAGTCTTCCTGAATGACAAAACCTCAACAGGTTGAGTGTCTCCTTTAGGCATGTCTAAGAGCAATAATAGCTTCAAGAAAATGACTAAACAAGTTTAAGTTCATTTTCCGGATGATAACATCTCAACTAATACAGTCATTACTTACATCACGGTTTACATACGAAGGCCCAACGCACAGGGTATCAATGTCTGCCCCAGGTCCGTGTACCTGCCATAAGTCACCAGTTATCTTAATTTGTTATAACAATATACTTCCTCAGTTTTATTTTTATTTTTTTTACTTGCAACATTTCTACAGTGTACACTATTTACACACTCCACTTCAATTACATTTTGTGATTTATACTTGGAGAAAAGCAGAGTCATGTGATTTTTGTTAGACCCCTGCCAATGTGTAAGTAATTGAAATTTAATTTTTATAATTTTTAAAAATTGATGATAACAACAACTGAAGTTATGCATCGCCAAACATATATAGAAAATATTGAAAGTAAAAAAATAAAAAAATAAGTGTGTGCGTGCACGCGCGCGCGCGTGCTTGTGTGTGTATATATATATATAACAAGCTTCCTAGTCACCAAGGAAAAAAAATCCATAATGTTTACCTTTTTAGGAAGTTCTATATTTGTTGCATCATTTCCCTTTTTTAAGAAATGTTGCCTTGTTATTTATTACCTTACTAAAACTACATTAGTGCTGCCTATTTTTACTGTTGTTAATAAAAAAAATCATCTACCAATAACTAATTACTCCCACCACAAACAAAAGAAAATCAATATACCCCAACTGAAAGTAAAAAAATAAAAAAATAAGTGTGTGCGTGCACGCGCGTGCTTGTGTGTATATATATATATATATAACAAGCTTCCTAGTCACCAAGGAAAAAAAATCCATAATGTTTACCTTTTTAGGAAGTTCTATATTTGTTGCATCATTTCCCTTTTTTAAGAAATGTTGCCTTGTATATTTATTACCTTACTAAAACTACATTAGTGCTGCCTATTTTTACTGTTATTAATAAAAAAAATCATCTACCAATAACTAATTACTCCCACCACAAACAAAAGAAAATCAATATACCCCAACTGGGCGCACCCTTTTCTCTGGAGACTTCCACAACATTATATCTCACGTATTTGCCACCTCCCCCCCCCCCCCCAAAATAAAAAAAATAAAAAAGGCCATTTTTGCTACTTAATAGCTTAATTTTGCGCTCAAGTATGAGCCCTCAAATGTCTCAAGCTAATCCACTTTTCTTGACTCAAATGCAAACACCCTAAAATCAACTCAATTTGGATAACTGAGATCGTGTTGAGCTAGTTTCCAGCTGGGTTGTCAGCTTCATTGCTGCAATTGATGGGACAGGATAAAGGTTTACTCTTTATGGAAATGAAAATTTTCTTTATTACCAAAAGGTCAAACAAGGGACCTATTCTTTAGCTTTAGTTGGAGGATTCAACAGACATGTCTCTCTTAATCAATGATATCCTTCTCTTATTTTCAGAGAAAATTATCTCTATAATTTGATGAAAACAAGAGAGCAAATTCAGACGCGAAAATACCCCTTAATATTTGAGAAAAAGAATTCTTAGTTTGTTCAGCAAGGAACAAGAAAGAAAATTGTTGAGCAACATAAAGATGTTTGAAAAATAGAAATTTCAGTCTATTTTTTGGTCAAAGAGACGCTACATATGGCAAGAAGCTACGGTCAATAAGACCGGCCATAATGACAAGAATTGCATTCAAGGCAAAAAGTAGAACTAAGGCAATTTAAGATACCAAAATCCCAACCAAAGTAGATAAGCCACTAGTCTTAAGTATGCCTATGAGGTTAAAGGTTTAAACACTTTCTCCGCTGATTGGGGGGAAATAGGGAAGATAAAAAGAAGATGAAGAAAATCTTACTGTCAGCAAACAAAAGAAAAAATGGGCCCAATTATCTATACCCTTATTGAACAGAGAAAGTTAGTAACTAGACGAACAGTCGGACACGCTTTCAAGTTTTATCACTCATAAAAATTGCCTTACTGGATACATATTCTCAAAACATTAGAGAAGAATAACTAGGACTTTTGAGGCGCTTACACTTTATACATCAACCAAAACCTTAATAAGCAAAAAAAAAAATTCAAGTGGTATTGCTCTTTTCTCCAAGTCTTCTGATCTTCTCCACCCTCTCCTCCTTTTGATAGAAAAAGACTCCAAACATTTAATGATAGTTAATTAGATTAACCTAATCTAGCCCAAAGAGAAGAGCATTAAAGGTGTTATCGCAGTAGCATGCCAAAATCCATCAAAGTTTCCAAAATTAAACAAAAAAAAGTAGCACTAAAAGCTCAACACACAGATATCAATAAAAAAAAATAATAACAAAAAAGTGATCGAAAGGACCAGAACTTTCAGATGTATCCCCCCCCCCCCCAATGTCAGTCAGATACACACCAAACAAAATTATAACATCCCCAATTCTTCATAGTTATCTGATGAGATTAACTTGCTGATACCTCTGTATACTACAATTATTTGGCAGAGTGATCTAAGCAATAAGAGATGACGACCCTTATCCTCTTTTCATGAATAAGTGAAAATTTGTAACACACAAGAGATGATAAAGGAGATGTAAGGAAAACTCATGGTGCAGCCGAAAGGCAAACATTTTAAATTAGAGAATAAAAAACTAATTACCCCCAGTCGATACGACCCAAAAGTAAAAATGAGAGCATTCGCATCGTCAACCATTTGATCTGTGTATCCTCTTTGGCGAGTCAGCTGCTTTACCCACCCTTTCACAATCTGCATGACAAATTATAACAACAATTTACACTGGTATTCTATTCATGAATGATAGCTCCATGTAATAACTCTGTGAAAAAAGCAATGCAACAAAAAAATCCTTTAATATTTACTTGGTATTCAGAAGAATAATTCTTAGCCTGCCATGTGAGTTATGCAATGATCATCAATCAATTTTCAAAATCAGGACTTCCAGGGATGTGAATCTAGTACTAAACCAATTCTATAACAAAAACAAAGAACAGTAAATAAAAATTTTAAGGGCATCAAGAACTACATCTAGTTTGATTGAACTACTTCGCAATGCCATTATAACAACCAAAATATACTTTGCCTGATTACCAAATACCAACTGGTATATAATGCTAATATGCAATACAACAAAGACAAAAGTCAGCATTAAATAAAGAAAGTGAAAGCCATTCTTGTATCACTACATCAGTAATCATAGCACATAAGGCAATTACTCTGTCCCTCCAATCTAAATCATGTATCACCCTTTTCTCTTACTTAGAATTTGACCACAAATTTATCTCAAAATAAACTGATTAATTGTCTATGACAAATTACTCCGTACTACTGTATTGAAAAAACTACAAGCAATTTAACATAATCAACCTTACAAGTACATAATTTGAGAGTAATTGACATTCAATATCAATAATTTAACAATAAGCCGACAATACAGGGAAGATAATTACCTCGCGAATTCGATTTAGGACCTCTTCTCTCTTATCTCCTTCCTCACTGCTCTCATATAGCCCCGAATCAATCAAAAACTACAAAATCAACATCAATTATTCAAAAATTATGGATTTACTTGATTTGAGCAAAAAATTAAATTAACAAAAACCAAAAAACCAATTAAAGAGGCAATTACCTTCTCTAATTCAGCATTCCGCATAAGATCAATCTCAGTGGGACCCGCAAGTGAAATCGGCTTATTAATGCCATGCTTTTTCGCCGGCAACGAAGAAGAACTACTATTAAGCTGCTGCTCAGATCCCCCCACCATTTGAACACCACCAAAAAAATCCCAATCAAAAACCCTAACCCTAAACCACCAAAGATTGAAAGTTAATTCAAAAACAGCTCAATTCCTTCCGAAATTGAGCATCAATTAAGCATTCTCTCTCCCCATAAAAGGGATGTAAAAGGAACAAAAAACAGACAAAAAAAAAAAAGAAATGGGTGATGAAATTAAGCTTTATAGATTTGCCAACAATGGGAGTAGAGATAATTTTGGTTTTTTTTTATTTAATTTGGGTATTTAATTAGGGTTTAAGATGATTGATGAAATGATTTGGTAAGAGTGAGAAGAATGGGACAAAGACAGAGGAGAGAGATCTGAAAGAGTGAGATGAAAGAGAGGAAGAAGGGGAGAAGAATCTGGGGAAAACGGAAAAAAGGAAGGTCAAAGAGAGTGTGAATTCTGATGTTAGGCCGTGTTTGGTAAGCGAAGGCACGTACTACTATGTTAGACCCCACTCTCTTTGTACGAGTATAATAACAAAAAAAATATCAACATTTTTTAATTGTTATTATTATTTCACCCCACCACAAAAAATATCATTGAATAGGGGCGTTTGCGGTCCTATTTGATTTGGGGTGATAAATTAAACCATGTAATACGGTATGGATTTTGAGCATTAATATTATTATTAGAGCATTAATATTGATGGGGCTCTTCATAATTTCTCTCTTCTCACCTCATTAGTCTATTATCACTTTTCACTAACTTTATCACATATCCTTTTCATTTTACAATTCCTACTTGTATTCATTAACCTCCTCATTTACTTTCTCTCTCCTATTTTTCCATACCTCACCATCTCTTCTCCCTCCTACTTTCCATACCCCACCAATATTTGACATCCAATTGTGCAAATTTTTGGGAGGCTTTCCATCAAATTAACATCCCAAAAATATTTAGCAAATGGAAAAGTAGCAACATTGGTGAAAAGGTCCCCATTTTCATTTTTTGTTAAATAAGGACCCTAATTTCCAATAAATGTGGATGCTCTTAAAACTCCAAGGCAAGGAGTGGCATTTTGCCATGTGTCGATATTTTTGGTTTCATTTCGCCACGTCACTTTTAATTTTTTGCCGCGTCACTTTTGCAATTGTATTATTGTATTTTTTTTTTGAAGCAATTGTATTATTGTATTTAAATGTGTTTGATTTACAACTTAGAAAAATGATCAATTGTATAATAAATTAATTAAGTCAATTGTTTGAGAGTGAGGGATAGCTCAGTTGGTAAGAGCTTTCCTCCTGGTTCCAGGTGATCATAGGATCGATTCTCATCCCCACCCTAAGTGGCTCATATGAACCCAAAAAAGAAAAATTTAAGTCAATTGTTTCAAAAAAAAAATATTAAATCAACTTTTATTACCCAAATTAAGTTTTCATCTTGATTTAGGCACAATTAAAGTTATTAATTTCATCTTTAAAGAAAGAAAAGGTATTACTTGCAAACCAATAAACTAGCCATTATCAGTATTTATTTTGGTCACATTGCTTTAACCCATTTAATTTGTGAAATTGTAATCGATATATATTAAATATATTTATCCCTTTAAATTAACTACCCAAAGAAATGATACACTAAACGGTGTAAACCTCTTGGAGAAACATTACTGGGTGAGTATTGTGTTAGGTGAGTATTCGTTTACTATACCTTACTTGGCATGCAGTGGATTTATTTTCCATGCTTAACTCATATTTTTACACTTTTAATAAATCACCCCAAATTAATTATGGCCTATATATGTTTTAAGCTATAAGTAGCATTTTGATTTGATGATTGTGTAATATGATTTGCTATATTTTAATATGAGATTCCATTGGTTGATTTGCTTTATAGTTCACTCAAAGCTCTCAAGGTTAGTGTGTGTAAAATTCTTCATTATTCACTACTTATGCTTGGTGGTTGAATATTGGTTTGATGGTTCATTTGTGCATCCAATCTAGAAAGGGTATAATGCATGTAATTATTTATTTATTTATTTTTGTAAAAAGGATATAATGCATGTAATTATTTGTCATGTAATTAAATATGAAGAATAGAAACAAACCCGGGGCATTGCCCGGGTCACTACCTAGTTCAAAATTAAATCAAACTAATTACGCAATATGTTAACTAAGCATGTTTGTTGGAGAAGGTGGGGAACTCACCTTATGAGTTTGAGGTAACAAGTTTGAACCCCATGACCTACGTTACTTGGGAGTAGAGGATTCCCTTATATATCCTCCCATGAATGATGTAGCGTCATGGTTTAACTAAACACCTTGGAGTTCAATGTACTTCCTCCGTCTCATAATACAATGCCTCTTTTCTTTTTTGGGTAAACCACAATATAATGTCTCTTTCTATTTAAAGGTTGTACCTTTTAACATTATTACCCTCTTTTTTATGAGTTGTCATCTTTTGTCCTTTTTCTTTTTTGTACTTTTGACATCAATTTCCAATACTTTCTTGTTTTATCTCTTCAATTATTCACAACTATTTTTTCTTTCTCTCTATCTCTCTCTAACCCGACATGCACATATTTACTTTTAATCATTAGTTTTAAGGAATCAACAACTTTCTTAATTTCCGTGTAAAAACCCAAAGAGGTATTGTATTATGAGACGGAGTGAGTATTTCATAACTATATTAGGTATGATTACAAAGAGGTCAAAATCATGCCATACTCCAACTACATATTAAAAAGAAAAAATGAATAAATCATACAAAACATGTTTTTAATTGGTATGAGAAGGAAGGAGATTTTTGTTAAAACGAGGTGACAACTTGATTAATCATTGATTCAATGTTTCACTTATTTTCTTGTGTGTTTAAACATTTAAGGACACAAATCTATGAAGCAACACTTTGTATACACCACAACTCAATAGGGCTATATTGTTACAAAATTCTATGTAAGAGGGTAGTTGATAATGATTAATTTGATTAATGTGTAGATCTTATCGAGGGCTATCGGAGATCATTAGGTTAAGTTGATTCAACTCAGCTCCGATCCATCCAAGCATTGAGGCTTATTAGGACCAGCTTTGAGGTGACTAAAGCATACCTTAACTTGAATAGGTCCACCTAATGAGTCCGTTATTGAGTTGAACTTCAATTTGATTTATTTACATTAACTTTACTAAATTATCAATTGTAGTATTATTTTAGAAATAAAAGGCGTTAATAAATTGATGACTTGTTCAGAATGATCCAAGTCCTCTTGATTTTAAGTTTGAAATTAACTAACAAATTAAGTCCTTATACTTGTATATGATATTGAAAATAATTTAATGGTTAAGGTGTTATTCTTTTATGTAGAGAGAGCTAGGCTTAGGAGAGGTGAACTTTTATTAAAAGCGAAAGATTCTTACTTTACTTCTTATATCATGAACTCATAACATCCTTAATAGTAGGCTAAGACCTCTTTTTTGAGTCTTATGCCCCCTTTTCAAATTGGTTATTTAAAACTTAAATCTTCTTGGTATTAAATTTTAAATTAACTAATGAATTATGGATTAGGTCCATTGATACAATAGTCAAAGAAGTTTAATTACTTTGTACGGAGTAATAGAAATTGACAAAAACGTGTAAACTCACGTAAATACAAGAAATTGTTAGTGGCTTTTGTTAGAAAAGTGTTGTTTAGATATGTCAAAAATCAACTATCTATAAATAATGCTAAAGTAACAACCGTTGATGTCATCATTGTCTCCGTGTCACTTTTTTTATAAAAAAATTTCCCACCTAAATACAAAGATAATGTAATTTTTTTCCCCCTTTTTTTAAGCTACTCTATTTAACATTACTTTGAAATTATATTCCAAGCTTAGCTTCTATATTACGAATACAACTTATCATCTTATCCTAGGAAATTGAAACAATTTTGACTGTCACAATAATAAATGACCTCCTACTCCCATTTCTTTAATTTTACTTGTATTTCAAATCTACTCCATTTACTCAATTCTTAGCCATAATTTTGTTTTTTCATTTTCCTTTAACGTATTGTATTTTGATTATGATTTTATAATTTAAGTTTTAATTGTTTAATATTTCTCTTGCACTGGTATATCTTCTTCTTTCTTTATCTTCTTTATAATTATTCTTAGATTGTTTATTGTGCTGTCATTTTAGAATATTTTCGATTATTTGGGTTTTGTGTGTGAAATTTGTTGGTTCCCCCCCCCCTTTAATCAAGTCTTATGCCCCCATTTTTTTTATCAGTTTCGTCTTTTTTTTATTGAAAGATGGTTTCTTCTTCTTTTCTAAATCTTTTTTTCTTCTTATACTATTTGAAAAATGTTACACAATTTTTTTTATTTCATTGTACGATTGTCGATTGAGTATAATATGGTAATTTGATTGTGTTTTTATGTATTTTTTTTTAGAAAAGTGTTTTAATGTAATTTGATTGTTTGTTGATTGCTTAATTTTGTGGGAATTTATTTGATTTTTCCTTTTTTTTAACAGGGTTTTAAATATTGGATTTTCTATGCATAATATAATTTTTGCGAGTAGTTGTTAAAAATAGTTAATAACTAGATTAATCTCGTGCGATGCACGATTTTGACAACTAAATTTGTTATATTGTCACACTTACAAAGTTATTAGACTAAATTTGGATATTACTTAGGGCCTGTTTCGATTTACTGAAATCAACTGAACTGATTGGGGCTGAACTGAACTGAATAGAAATGAATTGTTTATGAGAGAAGAAAATTAGGAAATGAACTGAACTGATTGGAACTGAATTGAACTGAACTGAAATTAAGCTGAATAGAAAAGACCCTTTATTAACTAAATTTTCAAACATTGAAATAGATGACCAAAATTTTTAACTAAAAAGATATAAAGTAAAGGATGACATCACATATATATTTTAGGCGGGAAAATTTTCTACCGCAAGTTGACATGTGTACAGTTAGGAGAAGGGATGATGTCAGCGGTTGTTATTTTAGTAATAGTTATAGATATATTTTGATTGATTTTTCCTAATTAAATATGAAAATGATGGATTTTGGATTTTTTTTTTCATATTTAACTATTAAGTAATTAGGAAAACGGAGGAAGTAGTTGTCTTCTTTCAATATATGCTAAAAAGCCATAATTCATTTTTTATGTTAAAACCGTGCATCGCACGGGATTAACCTAGTAACCTAATAAATCTAATCAAACTTGAACTGGATTATAGAAAGACATGTTACTCATAGTTTCAAATGCACCTCAAACACGCAATGGAGATAATTTAAACCTATCCCTATCTTTTAAAAAGTATGAGAAAATACTTAGGAATAGTGTGAGGACAATTATATCCTTTAAAATGTTTGTTTACCTATATGCTCCTATTGATATGATGTTAATTGCCTCTAACCTTTTTCCTTGTGTGATTTAAGATATAACTCTTATGAATAGTGTTTGAAGAATTATATATATACCCTCTAAAATGTTTATTTACCTATTTTTCATTATTAACGTTAATTGTCTTTATAAAAACTCTTAAGAATACTGTGCACTATACATACATTTTTACCCCTAATTTGTTTATATATTTTTTTTCTCATTATATTACCAACAACTTAAAACACTCTAAAAATGGCTAGCTATGACGCATGTGCACGTTAACCTCCATAGTCTCTCTAAAAAGTCCATAAATAGAATATTAGCTCGAAACATGACCCGAGTCAAACACCGATCATAGGATAAAGTGGTTTCAAGACACAAGCAGCTAACCCCAAGTCCCCAATCCCATAGGACCTCCTTCAATAATCCAAGGCTACAATCACTCAATAAATCTACAAAGAGCAACACCTGAATGCTCACATCTACCAGTCTACCACCACTCATCACCTCCTCTGCCGAGTTCTTCATCCCCTCCAATCTCTCTCCTCTCCAATGGCGCGCGCCATGACCCGCGCCATCCCATTTTCCCTAAAACCCACCTTCTCAAAACCCCGCTTTCTCACTTTTACACCACCCCATTTCAGAGCTAATCCTTCCCTAAAATCTTCACCCATTTCTGGGTTATTATGGGTAGGAAATGAATTTAGCAATGGCGGAGGATGGAGGGCTTTGAGAAGTCCTGGAATGAGTGTTTACTGCGGCGGCATCGGCGGCAGCGGTGTTGGTTTTGGGGGTGGGGAAAGAGGGTATAGGAAGGTTAGGAGGAAGGTTGTGAAGAGTAAGAAGAAAGCTAAGGAGTTGGAGCTTAGTGTTAAGATTCTTATTGAGGAGGGTTTGCCCAATGACCCTGAAGTTTTGGTAATTATCTTTTCTTCATATCTATTTTAAAGGGTATTTTTAATGTTTCTCTTGTTATATGTTAATTGCCTTTTCATTGATTGTTTGATTAGTCTTATGATTGAATGAGATATTTAATTAGTCTTATGATTGAATGTAATTGTTACTACGTATGAATTACCGGTATTGTACTTATGTATCTTTCTTGCAATGTACAAGAAAAATGTTGCTGGGATAAGTCTTTGTATGTGGTATGTGTTAATGATATGCATTTTTTTATTTTTATATATGTTCTTTGTTTCGCGAGGATTGGCTCAATCTTTGTGTGTGTTGTCATATGAATAACTGTAATCTTGTAGAAGTTTTGATTCTAGAACATTGGTTAATTAGCCTATGTATTCAAAGCTGTATTATGGAATCTTGAATCAGCAAAGGGCTATCTTTTATTGTTGTTGAAGCCTGGCTGAAGCTACAGCTACTAGAGGTTGAATTGTAGCTAGTTTAGCTTCCATTAGCAGTATAGTTCGACGAAAGTTTTATCTTCAATATATTGTCCACTTATACTTTACTATTGTCTGAGGGAGTACTGTTTGCTGATTGCAAGGGGCACGTATACAAAAGAAATTTCATGATGAATTTTCTTATCAAGATTATATTTGCGTTTTCTTAAGGGAGACATTCTTTTGAGTAGTAAGGGGGATTGGGGGAATATTGTAGTGTGCAGGAAAGTTATGTTTGAGATATATCATGGTGTTTAAGATGGGGAACTTTGGAGTTTAAAACTGTTACTGATGGCATGACTATATTGGGTATACCAAAAAGGATGATCAAATCCTTCTGTTTGTGAGTTAGGATTTTATCATCATTTCCATCCTATCATGTATGCTAATCTTTATATGACAGTTGATTTGGTGATAAAGACAAGCAGCTTTGGTGAGCAATGTCATTCTGTTTCAAATAAGATGGGACGAGAAGAGCTTTACTTTGGTGGGTTAGTTTGGATTGGAACCAAAGAGTTAAGACTGGGGATCTTGCTGAAAGGCTCATAATCCACTAGATCAGTTATCAAAGGGGAATGAATTTGGATCAATGTTTTGGATGACATGTTTGGATCTAGTTATCTCTTTCTAGTTTCTAAATCATTACTCTAAATTCACGTTTGGTAGGTGGCAATTAATTGTGGTAATGAGAATGAATTTGTATGTAAATTTGTAAGGAAAAGTTCTATGCCATTCCCCATGTTAATGTTAGTTTACCTCAAAGTGTCTTTAATCTTCATAAATTTTCATCACCATTCATTATCACTTAAGGGGTGTTAATTGAAATTTTTTGAAGGGGTTGCATTACCATGGACATCAATGAAATACTTTCCTTGCAGAGTTATATATAAATTGGTTCTCATTATCTACATTTCTTATGACCTACCAAACGAGCTGTAAGATTTTCAATTGGTGACTGCAAGACCTGGGAGGGAAAGAAACCTTATTTTTTCGTGGTTCTGAACTTTGAGGAAACTCTGCTTTGAATGCTTCACTGCTTGCTTCGCAAAGTATGTTGTGTGCTAATAAAAGTCCTCCTGCAAAGCTTAAATCTTTTATCCTCCACCACTTTTGAGTGGAGGAAATATATGGTAATAGCCAGTTAGAATTCATAGAAATTTCTCAACTCATGAAAATATGAAGTCATATTAAATCAGGCTGCTGCTTGCAAATTTTGCCTACATAGTCATGTTTATCGTATTTATGATTTCTGGTTCTTTTGTCAGTTTATTCTTTTAATCTTTTTCATTTTGTAGAGTATTTCTGAAATGCTCAGGCTAAATGCTCCGATGGCAATGAAGTTGGCATTAGATGGACTGAACAATTCAGATTACAAAACCAGAGATACAACAATAGATGATGTTGCTGGATATGAAACCATTGAGCTGTCTTTACTTCTATGCAATGATGAGTTCATTCGAGAACTTAATAAAGATTGGAGGGATGAAGACCATGCCACTGATGTTCTATCAATGTCCCAACATATTCCAGAACTTAAGCTACCTATTGTAAGTGATGAAAAATTTAGTTTTTGACTAAAATCCTTATGGAATTTTTTTGACCAGTATGTTCTTGTTTCAGCTTATGTTAGGTGATATTGTGATTTCTGTCGAGACAGCTGCTAGGCAAGCAGAAGAACGTGGCCATACACTACTTGATGAGATACGCATTCTTCTGGTTGGTTCTACTTTTAGTTCCTCCCCCATGATTTGGCTGTGATGATTTTTGCCTTAACAATTACTGTATGCTGAATGTGATTTTGCTTGGTAGAGTTTTTGGCTTCTTGACTTCTTCAAATTCACTCTATAATGAACTAACATTGGAATTTTTCCGAAATGCGATGATATTTTTGTCGAATCTTCTGGATATTTTGAGTTGTCAGAATATTCACTATGCACTTTTTGTTGATCCTGTGCACCCTAGACAACGTCTTGTATGCAGGTTGGTCCTGTGCCCCATTCCCATAAAAAAAACCTGAACAAATAGGGGGGGGGGGTAATGATGATAATGGAACAGCTCTTTCTTTTTCCATTTGGCATTGACGTATATTTATTAAAGTACATTAAATCCTATATTCCAATGTTCTATGAGCTTGAGTGGGATTATTTTCAGGTTCATGGCCTACTGCATCTTTTGGGTTTTGATCATGAACTAAGTGAAGAAGCAGAGGCGGAAATGGAAAAGGAGGAAGAACTACTTTTAAAAAATCTTGGCTGGGAAGGCAAAGGGTTAATAAAGAGTGCATGTGATGCAGAAAATAATGGGAGTCTTCAAGTTAAAGATTCTGATGGTAATTCTAATTTATTGCTTACCCTTTTTCCGGACAAATATGAGCATATCAGCTGCATGCTTTGTTCATTTTTGAATTTTCTTGTACTAGTCTGCAGTGATGAGAATCTTACACGCTGATTGCTAAAAGACAGGAAGAAAGAAGGAAGTCTTCGATTCTATAGACCAAAGTTCAAATATATTTTCTGTGACATGGATGGTGAGATTTATATGGCCACTTCAAATGTTATTTTTCTTTCTTAGTTTATTGTGGCTAATACTTCTTCCTGAAATTTCTAATGTATAAGGCACTCTGCTGAATAGCAAGAGTCAAATTTCTTCAGCAAATGCAAATGCTGTCAGGGAGGCATTGTCAAGGGGTGTTCAAGTAGTCATTGCCACTGGAAAAGTAAGAATTTATGTTTGTTAATTCCTCTATCTCTTTTGCATGTCTTTAAGTAACCTGTATCTTTCAACTGCATGTCTACAACATATTAGATGAGGCTTGTGATAATAAATACTATAATGTTAAATATTGATATGGATAGTTAAGGTGGAATATATAAACTGCCTTCCAATCTTCAGCTGTTAGAATGTGGTAGACACCTGATGACTCTTGTACTGAGGTTTTTTTTTTTTTTTTTTTTTTTTTTTTTTTTTTTTTTTAATGTTGGTACTTGAGTATCTATTGGAGTAAAGGCCAAACTTAAGCCTTGCTACTGATGTAACAATGAAAAAACATACGTTGGAGATGAATGTGCTATAAAAAGTGACTGAGGCTAGGTCCTTGTGGCATTTTAAACCATACAGGCTTTATGCATTAATTTCCTCAACAACATTGCAGTATAATAGTATATACTTCCTTTGTTTCTCAATATATGCATCAAATTCCTTTTTGGGATGTTTCACATTAGGTGCATCATTTCTTAGGTTTTATGTCCGAAATTACTATCTTGTCCTCAAAAATAGTGGGGACCATCTCTCTACTTTTACTTTACAGCTTATCACATGAACAAATATGTAAATCTCTCCATTCTTTCTCCTTATTGGTTTGTGTGTCATTTCTCTATGATGCATCAATTGAGACAGAGGAAGTAGATATTGGGTATTCATGATTTTCATCTGTAATTCTATATGGCTTTTCTATATCTTTTACACCTTAATCTTTTTGTTGGCTGGGTAATTTTGGGTTTTGCCCAAGTAAATTCCATTCCATTTTGGACTTGGATTAAATGGATTTGGCTTTTCAAGTTATGAATTTTATTGATGTCATGCTTGTAGGCTCGTCCTGGTGCCATAGACGTATTGAAGACTGCTGATTTGGTTGGAAGAGATGGCATTGTCTCTGAATCATCACCAGGTGTTTTCTTACAGGTACACCTCAGTACTTGTCTCAATTTGATGGCATTCCTGCCGTAACTTTTGTTTGTTTATTCCTGTGAATATTTTTGTCATTTATCAATTGAGAAACTTGTGTCAAGTGTTTACCTATTTTTCGCTAAATTGCAGTCTTTGGTGCATGAGCATATAAGTCCTGTGACTCCTGTCTTAGTTCCAGGCTATATAATATATGAGAATACAGACAAACGTGCCTCCACTTTCTCTGAGACCAATCTTCAGAATAAAATTAGAGCAGTATTTGTGTCGTAAAAGTATAAAAGTAGGCACATAAATAAAATGACCATCAAACTTGATTCTCATTTACAGGTATATAAAAAAAGCTTATGTATTAAGATGTACACTTACCTGGAAACAAAATGGACTATACAATTTATTTCATCTTTGCTGCCAAGTCAGGAAACCCTGTGTCTCGTATTTGTGATATTAATTAGCTGTTCTGATTTCCACCCAGGGATTGCTTGTTTATGGAATACAAGGCCGTGAAATTTTTAGAAGGAATTTGGACCCAGACTTCTGCAGGGAGGTATGAACTATCTTTCAAAGCTACCTCAAAAGTAACATAATCTGTTGTATACTTGCATTAGGTATTTGGAGGATTTTGATGATAATGAAAATGCTCTTTTCTTTCTAAAATTAGGCCTTCTCCTACTCTTGGGAGCACCAAATCCCTCTTGTTGCATTCTGTGGCGATCGTTGCTTAACATTGTTTGATCACCCACTTGTAGACTCGCTCCATAGTGTATACCGTGAGCCAAAGGTACCTGGCAGTGATATCAGCTTCTGTGTTCAACATCTTCCCCCGGGATTTGTGCATAAATAAAGTTTTTTGCTAGGGAAGCTGATATTTTTGTATTGAATTCCTGCAGGCGGAGACTATGGCTTCAGTTGATCAACTATTGGCTGCTGCCGAAGTACAGGTAAGATACTTGAGCTTCCCATGATATAGGTACTATGTACTAAAGATAAAACCCGACATAGAATTATTATAGGACTAATCAAAGAAGAAATGTTTTGGCCTCAAAAACTAGCTTATACGAAGTAGATGAGCAGGTCTATCGATGCATGTGGCATGGTGGGGGTTACAGGTAATTGGTGCCTTGGGATGATGGGAAAGAAGCAAATTCAATAGTCTCATTATCCAGGCAACATGAGAAAACAGCAATATCTAACCATCCGTGTAGCTAAATAAGATGTTTCTTGTAGATAAGTCACATATACTATTTCAACTTTCCCTTCGGAAACTAGTCACGTATACTATTTTGGAAAGTTTGGAAAAGTTTGATTTTATTAAGATACTCTTATATTTAGCGTTGGTTGAGAGTGTGGAAATGACCCAAATTCTTAACCATCATAATGGTTTAGATAATATGAAAATTATTTGTAGATGAAGGTAATGTGATAAGAATCTATAGCACCCAGTGTCATCCACGAAACTGACATAATTGCATGAATGCTGTTATTAAATTTCTGGAAATAGTTAACTCTTGCCTTTGATCTATGTGTTCCGAATCAAGTCTCACTTTGACTTTGAATAAGAGGCATGTACCTAGGCTATTTGCAGCTTACTTTAGTAATGAGAAACACTATACAAACTCCATTGTAGGTAGGGAATTCAGGCAATTGTCCCTGAATGTTTGAACGTTTTCTTTTTGAGGCTGGGCATGATTAGCTACCATGAAAAAATCCACAGGATACAGCAAATTGCAGAAATTCTTTCAATCGACATGGTTGTAAGCTGGCATCGACTATCCTGTGAAGAATACTCTAGAGAGGACATTCTCAATATTTCAATAATTCCATCACATCTTCTAGACATCATAAACCTTGGTTAGTTGTAGTGGACTTTTAGCTGGTGGAATATACAATTGTATTTGAATCAAGTCTAACTTGAATAGCACCTTTTCTCCAGAATCAGGAATAGAACCCAAGAAGTCCTGTTGCATGATAATTAACAGTCCTGGAAGATCAGTAAAATTCCATCATTTGTTGCCGCCACGGAATTTAAGTCTAGTTAAATTAGTGATCTGGCTAGGAAGAAAATGTTAACTTTCTATCTGTGTTTCTTATCCAGATAGTTTCAGATTTGTTGTCTTTTATTCCCTTCGTTATACACTTGTACTAATCTTTTGACTCCCGCAGAAACTGGTGTTTTTAGACACTGCTGAGAGAGTGGAGACTGCTATAAGGCCATATTGGTCAGAAGCAGCCGGAAATCATGCTAGTGTTGTACAAGCTATTCCAGACATGCTTGAAATTGTTCCCCATGGGACTTCAAAAGGAAATGGTGTGAAATGGCTGCTTCAACATCTGGGAGTGTCAGCGGAAGAGGTATGTCATCAATTTATTATTTTCTATGCTATACAAACTTACAAAGCCATCATCATGAGGTGTGTAAGGGGACTATCACTGCAAATCTACAATAAGTTTTTGTTTGAGGCTTTTTACTGGGAGCTTCTGATATTCAATCAAGTTGACCATAAATGACAAGTACTTTTCACCTTTAGAAAATAAGTAACATGAAATAAAAATTTAGATAGGCTTTGATAAGGGCAACCCACCGAAATTCAGAAGAGGGCTACCCAAGTTCAAATTTTATGATTACTTGAATTTCACATCAGCATATTTTTAGGTGAAAAGAATGAAGCCATAGTCTATAAATTATTTCATTTTAAGCTATTAGCTTTTACTTTCTAATTTCTATTACTACAGTACAGATGGTTCTTTTTTCTTAATGTTGCTATCATAAAGCTGAATCATTTCAATTAATTATTTCTAGATTATGGCGATTGGTGATGGGGAAAATGACATTGAAATGCTCAAGTTGGCTAAACTTGGAATAGCTCTAAGTAATGGAGCAGAGAAGACAAAAGCCGTTGCTGATGTGATTGGTCTTAGCAATGATGAACATGGAGTTGCTGATGCTATCTATCGTTATGCATTTTGAACTTGATGAAGAACATAAGAATGATGGCGTTACTAGCCATAACTTTCTATCCTTCACATTCCCATTTCTATGTTTCCTTCATAATATCGTTGTATTCATTCTTTGATTCCAACAAAGAATAGTCCAATATACCTGTTGCTAGGGTAACAGAAATACATATACTGATATACATAATTTCATTGATTTAGGATGCCAAAGTTTTGTAATGTAACACTTGATAAATTTTTTTTTGGCAACGTCATCTTGAAATGAATACATTTTTCCCCATGAATTTTATCTGGCAGTTGCTCGTTGCATTATAAATGAACCTCACTCGATGCTGCTCTCTCTTGTACTTGAAACTTCAAAATCTTGATCAAAGTTAGACTATTGTCAATCTCCAAAGAAAGATGAATAGCAATGCACCTTGAAAAATAGTATTATAGTATATCAGACTGGAAGTAATCATGTTGCATTCTAATATTGTATATACATACTTCCTCCGTTCTTTTTAATCACAACGTTTAAAATTTACACTATTCACAAACAGTTCTATGATCATCTTTCGAGATTTATACATTTGGAAAAATTATGTGAAATCTTATTAGATTTGTCTAGATTTATAGTATAAACGCTAAAAATATCAATTATTAATAATTTTTGCTAATTGAAAATTTAAGATGTTAAGAAAATATGTGCATTAGCAAACATGAAACTTCAAATGTTGCGACTTACAAAGAATGTAGTATAAGGGAGAAGTTGCATTCTGATCAACTCAAGTCTTGAGCATTACACCAAATAATAATCGTCAATCGCGTACAGAGGCTTTTGATGTCTAAACAAACAAGCATTACCAATCCCAGCAACAACACGATAGGCATGCCTAGAAAAATAACATCAAAAATCATCTTCTGTAGTTTAACTAAACTTTACAACAAAGGCTGGTATTGACAGGCCAATTTTCCTTCACAATAAACTTCTGGCTTGACGGTAGTACCATTACAAAACATGCTAATCAGATTACTTCATACAGGATGTTTTCACTTGGAGAATCTGATAGCAATTTGCGACGCAAGCTCAATTATTCATATTTTGAAGCATCATATTTTGCATGTCTTGTAGCACATTCCAGAATAGTTTTGTCAGCGGTAATGAAGTAAGAAGAAATGGTTGCTGCACACAGAAATTATGTTCGTCACAAATTGTACAATAGGGCGTTAACAAAAATAGCTAGTAGTACAACAAACTGCACCTATCCTTTTTAAGATATGATGTTACAGCAACAAACACTACTACTACTTTTTCATTTATACAATATTAAGAGATATTATAATCCATGTTAACTGTTTCTCATACATGCCACAGAAATGAGGTCATAGTGAATTGTTTGATTCAAAGGACTAAGGAATCTACTAAATTAGACAGATATATGAGATAATATATCACTATTATATAGCTAAATGAACATTAAAAATGAAAAGTTAATAGGTTAAAGCGTCAAACATTAATTATACTCAACATTTGGAAAATGAAAATGATTTGAGATGCAAAGCTAGAGATAACTTAAGCAATTATTTAACAAGTATTACCTGCAGATATAAGGAGTGCCTGTGCACTATAATTAAGGTTGGCCTTCGCCCATGGGTTGACTCGACAACCACCTATCTGTAATTTTGAAAGAGGTACAAAATCAACAAGACAAAAAATTTGATACGCACGAAACCATATTATATATGCACTCTATATTTTGTATAACCAATTGAGGCATCCCATGCCCATTGTCTAGGTTCAACATAAGGGATTGGGAGGAGGGATCTTGAAGGGTGTTAATCAGGTGGACTGTACCAGACATAGTAAAAATGCTTCAGAAAAAAGTGCTTCCAGTATATCTAGAGTATTTAACAATTAGAATGATTCTTAACCAAGTCTTACAAATAACTGCCTTAATAACACTTCCTAAATCCAAAGCTCATAATAAAATTCCGATAATATTCATATTGGAAAAAAAAAGTGAGAAAGAGAGGGTGGGTACTTGGAGAGCTATCAAGGAGAGCTCATATTAAATCCTATGTTGTGATGAAGTTAAACAATGTCACATATATATATATCCGGATGAAGAAGTACCATCTTAGGAGAATGAGAATCTTGCCAGAAAATCTATGAAAGGTGGCCATTTACATCCATTCTTCAGTATTACAAACAATTGACAGTATGTGAATGCATTTTTATACAAAATCATTCGCGATTCCACAAGGACTTGCAATTACTTTCAGCAGAATGACTTCCCTACTTTTATCAAAGTAGTCTTTATCAATATGATTTTTTAACATGTACTTCATGGAGACTCTTTAGGATATGGTAAAGCAGTAACGGCTAAGAGAGACTGATCTCAGACGTTCAAGCCCAAATTGCAAGGAAATGACTGTATATAATTCCTACAGCGCAGCTTAGTTCTATTCTTAATTTTGCTCAAGTGAAGATGGTTATCGAATTCTCACTAGAATAAGGATTTCAGAATATGTCCTCTACCAGAATAGATGAGATAGGCTTGAGTAAACACACAATTTCAAAACTTATTTACAGGATTCAGGACTCTCACTTTGGTAGGTGGGAAACAAGATTAGGATGGCTATTAGTTTACCACCTAAATTCTAGACAGCCACCTCTCTGGAAGATCTATTCGCTCTATCAACAAGTTAATATCAAGCTGGACCTAGTGTAGTATAGGGAATTGGCACTCAACATTCAGTCTTGCATATTGCCGAGATTGGACACATTTTGTTGCGATCAATGTCATCCTCAATAACGAAACCACTATCCTATTCTATATTCTTCAAAGCTCATTTTGCATACACCCTTTTATCAACATAAGCTTCAAGCTCACGAAATTATAACTTTAAATCCCTCTCAGTTCCTTCTTTCGCCATGAACCCAATCAATACCATTGCCCCATATACAGATACCGAAAATTCCCCATCATATCAAATTCCAAAATATGTTCTAAACTAAATTCACTAAGGGCAACTATACATTCATGATCCTCAAATTTTTCGGCTCTGATTCTCTTACTCTATATATTAGTTGCAATGCTTCTGGGTTTTCAATGGTATACATAATTAGTAATTTACCCAGTAACTTAATTTCATGAAACTAACAACATACAAAAATTTCATTCCACTAAAATTACAAATTAAACAAGAAAAATAATAAAGACAATTATGAATTCAAACACATACCACAGTAACAGTAGCAATAACAGAAGCAATTGCAGCCGCTTTAAATCCAGCTCGAGTTGCCTCTGCCAAATTAAACCCAGGAAAAAAAACGCAAAATTTAATCACCCATATAAACAATTGAAATTCATAAAGAAAAATTAATGAAACTTATTAATCAAATCAAAAACCCAAATCAAGAAAAGATAAAGAATAAGATCCGAGAATACCTCGAGCACATTCGGCTTTAATTTGGTGTGCTTCAAGAGGAGCAGGAATCAATATAGATTGGCTGCTGTTGTTGTTGTTGATGATGGACTTATTTTTTTGACCAGTCATTGCGCTTAGAATTCCCATTTTTGTCTCTCTTATTGCAGAAATTCGATTTCTTCTGTTGTAGCGAATGAACTGCCAAAGGTTGAAATTGGTTTATAGAAAATTAGAAATATATATTTGGAGTTTGGAAGGAGGTGGTAGAGAAGGTGAGTTGTATTTGTTCACTAATCATTCCCATGGATGGCCAATTTCGGTGGGCTGGTACTGGTATCACTAATTGTTATACTAATCGTATTAAATAATAGGCCGCATTTCTATTTTAGTCAATTTCAAGGTAAGTCTACGTATTATAGAGTATTCCGTTATAATAATACAAGGGGCCAAAGAAACACAGTTATAGTACCAGAATGTACAATTACTATATACTCTTCCAAATTGTCTAGCTTTCTAACTTGAGCTGGATTGACCCGTGAGGGGGTTTGGCTCAATAAAACCCTTCATCGATATGGTATACAGACGTAGTATACAATAGTATAATTTTAAATTTTGAACGCTGGTTAGAGCTTAAGAAAATTGGATTTTTTTTATTTTTTTATTTTATAGAGTCCACGAACGACATTAATAAGAGTAGAACATAAATCGAATACCTCTCCTCAAGATTTTACATAGTCCGTTAGTTGGCGTTCACTGGTAAAGTACTAGAACAATAATTCTAATTCAACAATTCATTCAAAAATCACCTTTTTCCAATTAAAAATGATACAGAAGGATATACTTGTATTAACAATCTTATTAAAATGACTTGATCTGGGGTTTTTTCCTGGTGCCGAATGTGGGTTAGTTATTTCATGTTGAGTTTTATAGTCTTAAAGTCTGAGTGTCAATTATGTAATTGACTAACAAGTTGGATTTGTAGTACATGTACTTACTTTTTAATCTGGATAAAAGTCTAGTTAAAGTTTGATAGTTTAATTTCCACCTCTTCTCTAAATTGGAAAGATTTATAACCTTGATTGTGTTCATTTTTCAGATGACTTCAATTACGTATCTAACACATTAGACATATAGGAGATCCAAATACAAGAACTTAAAATAAAGAATCCGAGTAACATAGATTGAACATAGATTTATATGAAGTTATGCACCGTTCCCCTAGGCCAGCTTGAGAAGTTAAGATACACACGGCAGTATGTCACCCCCGACTCATGTGCCATCTTACAACATCACATGGTTCATGCTCTGTCTTACAAAGTTCTGATTATTACTAGGCAGGGACCAAGAACCACCAAACTAAGGTCATTAGATTTGATCAATATAATTTTCAAATCACAACTGACCATGACAGATTAGAATTGATCATATGTAATCATTCTTGAAAAACTGTATTAGATCTTTACAATTGCACTCCAATCAGATAACGTTGTAGGAGATTGTCGATTTTGCTAGGAAGCCTCCCATTATCATTAACTAACCCTGACAATATGAAACGCTTGATAGCCATTTAAATAAATAGGCATTTGCAGAATTACAATTATTATTCCATATTTGAAAACATAAGCCGCTGTATGGATCAACCATCTCCAAGATCAACGCAAACAGTTCATACAAAAAATTAACACAAACCCTTCAAGGGAAAAAGCACAAAAGATAAATAGTTCACAATAGAAAGCCAATCCCCAGTATATAGAGCAGCAAATCCACACCAAGCTCCTTTGTGTACATCAAATATGTAATTATCAACCTACACAGAAGATTTCGACCTATTCAGAAAAAGCAAATTGAGAATGAGACATGATAAACTATAGATTTTATACAAGTATTACATTACTCCTTCCATTTCACAAAGAAGTTCGAAATTGACTTTGACATGATTTATTAAGAGTAAATTGTCAGGGGATTTCACTTGAATATAATAGAGGGGCATTATCTTTTCAACAACATTTCATTGATTTCGATTTGGCTACAAGGAACTTCATTGTGACACGGAGGGAAAATATTATCAACAAAGGTGCAATCAAAGCCTGGGATAAGAGCGACATGTTATTCACAAAAACTTAATCGACGTCATTGTGAAATTGATGCTAAAATAAATTGCCAAAATTAAAGAATTTTAGCATGGAAATATGATTATACAGGGTAGATAATTGTATTTAACATGATCACGTCAATCTAAAAGTATACTGTACTTAAAATGAGCACATACTTAGGTAACAAGGATTGGACATACCAAACTATTTAGAGACCCTGCTCAATGAGATAATCACCCAGCCTTTCAACAATCATGTTGCACTGACCAGGAGTCACTGGTTCATCATATATACCAATAACAAAGGCCATTCCAGTCTTCTTCACACAAATGCCACCTGCACCCTGTAGTATGTACGATAAAGAAACAGTAAGGACCAGCTTAACAATGATACAACCTATAACTGAAGCACTATGTACGCAATACTTCAACTAATTGAAGATGCCTTCTCTACTACTATGGAACAAAAAAGGTAGTGACAACAAAGAACGAAAATGAGTATCACTCGATTGAAGTGTTGTTACAAACACAATTACTGCAAACAGGGCCTTGAATGAAGAGAGAATTATGCCAGGCACGTAAAAGATATAGTACGTCGAGACTGAAGGAAGCGCAACCGAACAAAAATTCAAGATTACTCAATCCAATTTGACCACATTCTTAATATTATAATATCAGATTGACTAGCCCATATGACATTACACTATGAAAGACCTACCGAAAAGAATCATAAACAAGGAGATACAAGGGGCAACCTTCATGCCAAAACAAAAGAGAGGCTAGGTTCCGACCATATATTATTCCCACCCAATCAAAATCCAAAATTATTTTGCAAATTGCGTTAATTATCGTACATTATACTTTTCACAAACAAAAACCATATACAAGAGACATTCTTTATAGGACTGCATGCAGGTATAACAAAGCAATTATTCCCATTTCGTTTCATTTAGGAAACGAAACCATGGAATAGTGGATAGAGATACAGGCACACATAACAAACTAAGCAAGGGAAACCATCAAGCCTGTAACAACATCGCCCTAAAAATGGTTCCAGAATAATCAATCGTTACCTTCTTGCCACGGATAACAGCCCCGGGTTCCCCTTGAATAACCATGTACTTGGTTCCACCAAGGTAAAGCCCGGTGGGCGCAAGGGTTCCAGGCTCATCAAAATCCTTGGAAATAGCAACGATTTCATCTGGTTTGAACTGCAGTATCAAGAAACATAAAACATATGAGCACAATAAAAAATCAAACTCCATAAATATGTACAATTGCTAGTTATATACTTATATACTTGTATATATTTCACGTCATTAACAAAAAAATGCCACTCTTCCCCAAATTCTACCTAAACTACTCACAAGATCTCATCATTTTATCAACTTCCAAAATTCACACAGTTCTTTTGATGAATCAGTGGCCATAATCAACCCTAAATTCCACTATTATTCACTTATATCATCCACAAAAGAAATACAAAATCAGCACACAATTCAGCTCAAACACAGAAAAACAACCAAAATTTACAGTAAAAATTAATAATCAAAAATTAAAACCGACCCATCAAAGGAATCGATTAAACAAAAAATACCCAGATGATAACAACATCAGATCAAGCAAAATCAATCAAACCCACATGAAATTAAACACCAACTAGATCTATGAATTAGATAAAATTCCCAAAAAAAGCAGATGGATGAAGATTAAACCTGAGGAAAAGTGGCACTTTGAGCCCAGACGCTGCCGTCAAGACCGAGAATAGCGGCGGCGGAGAGGTGGTTATTGGTCCCCTCGATCTCGCACATCAAATGGTCATCGACGTAAGCTTGCCACGACATTTTTGCTCTTCTTCTTGACTAGAGCAGATTCAGTGAAAGAGAGGAGAGAGAAAGAGAGTGTGTGTGATTGAGAGAGAAATGACGAAATGTGGAAGAAGTAGGTAGATGGGAGGGACTGAGGGAAGGGTATTTTTGGTCTTTTGCAGATTGGGCTCTGAGCTACTATGGCCTATGATAATCTGTATTTTTTGTCTTTTAATTTACCAATTTTTTTATTTTATTTTATTTTTTTTTTTTTTTTTTTTTTTTTTTGGTAATGACAAAAATTCTATTATTACAAGAATTTGAGATTTTTTTGGTGTGTTCACATAATTTGATATTAATATCAATATTGTTAGAGCTCTCCTTTAGCCACTTGATAATAGATTTATTGGTTGATTAATGCATTAATAATATGATGTTGATGGTGGAGTTAGCTTGTTGGTGGTCGTCCATTATTTGATTAATGAGTCTGTAATCTGTATCTTCTGTTCCATATTTTAAGTATAAGTTGTGTGCCTGCTTTAATTGTTGGCTAAAATTAATGTAATGCTCTAATGGTTTGGGATTCAAAATTTTAAAACTTGTTAATTTCAATTTAAAAGAGAATGTGGTATACTTTCTTTTTAGGATATGGTACTCGGACAAAATCATACTAACGTTACAAAGTAATATGTGTAGTATTTATTTTAGTGCTGAAAATGAAATTGATAAGCGGTTTTCCATCGTTGTATGACCTATTATTTTGTTTTGGGAGGTGGATAATCCATTTTCAGAAGATAAGTATTACCATTTTGTATAATATTTCTATTTTAAGGTCACTAGATCTGTAGTAGCTGTTTGGGGTAAAAATACCCTAAACACGTGGCCCAATGGCCTAGTGACACGTGGCATCCAGCCGTTGGTCAGCAGGGCTCCAATCCTCTGCTGACACGTGTCCTCTAAACCCTAAAAGGGAAACCATCCCTTCCCCACTATAAATAGTGGAAGGACCCTCATTAATGGGGGGCTGGAACATTTGTTGTTCACATTGAATACTCCTCAAAAAGAAAAACACTTACCCCGAGCAACGTTAATTGCAGAATTCTCCCATTACGCGAGAAGTAACTTCTACATTACGTGCATTCTACCTCCCGTATCTTTACTAACTTGATCGTCGGAGGCGGAGCTCCTACCCCCAGGAGTCTTCGTGATTTTGCAGGCACAGGCGTCGAAGGGCATTCTTGGAATTGTAACTCTCCCGCAGGACACATCAAATAACCCCGAAACATTTGGCGCCGTCTGTGGGGAGGGTACTTCTAAGATGACTTCTGATACTGTGTCACCGAATCAGGGCAAACGGCCTGTGGTCGAGCCTGAGGTCCAGACGGACCATGAAAGTGGAGACGAAATTGAAACATATGTGGCCCCGGATGGGTCTTTCAGAACGAAGCACCCTCGTGCTAACGATAGAAGAGAACGGGAAATCAGCCAAGCTGCTCCCAGCAACCCAGCCGGGAAACCGGCTGGAATTGCCCAAACGGTGGAGGGCTCAACCCCCGTTACAAGAAACGAACTCATGTCTTTCATGAATAGTTTCAAGGGTGAGATCAAGAGCCTCATCCGGTCAGCTACTCCAAAGAAGGGTCAGCCGGCCAAGAAGCCTTCTGGAAAGAAGGCGGTCAAAGAACGAGTTCCTACCCCTCATCCCAAGCCAAAGGAGGGGGAGGGCTTAAGGTTTGATCCAAGCAGACTCCGTTTTCCTCAAGGGGAGCTGCGAAAGTCCATCCGGCACGTACAGCCGGATGGCTCCAAGAAAACATTCTCAGACGCCCGCACATTTCTCCAAGAGAAGCGAGGTCAGGCGTCTGCGTCGGCCTCAACGTCGACCTTCCCAGACAGTTTCCATGACGTCTCACACAGGCGTACGGGGACGAACCTTGGGAGCCAGACGGGCGAAGCTTCTGCCCGGTCTGGACCCAAAGTGATCCAGCCTGGCCTATTCGGCACACCGAATGGGTTGGGTGGATCCCCTTTTATGTCACCGGGTCTTTTCGGTGGGCAAGCGCAGCAGCCGTTCCAACCCACGGACTGGCAGCTGCGCCTGCTAAATTTGGGGGAACAGCCAACGGCGTTCTCACCAGAGATAACCCAGGCGGCACAGCCGCCTAAGATCAAGAATGTTTTGGTGGGGGCCTATGACGGCACCACCAACCCAGAAGACCATCTAATGGCCTACTCTAACCTCATGTACCTCCAGGGGTTAGATGATGCCGTCTGGTGTCGATGCTTCCCGGCTACCCTCAAGGGCATAGCCCAGCGGTGGTTTGGTAACCTACCAGCCGGTTGCATCAACAGCTTTCGAACTTTGGCGTACTTGTTTACGTCAAATTTCTCAATGAATATTCCTGCCAAAAAGACTAGCCTCGACCTAGGGGCAATACAGCAGGGCGACCGGGAGGGCCTCCGGTCATACGTCAGACGGTTCAATCTGATGAGAATTCAGATTCCAGGACTATCAGACGAAGTGGCCTATACAGACTTCTTTCGAGGTCTGAAGGATGGGTCGACCTTTAAGTTTGACCTCGTCCGGAAGAGGGTTGCTACCCTCCAAGAGGCGTTAATTGAAGCTGAAGCCTATATACAGGCGACGGAGCTTTGTGCTGTCAAGCAGCCGTCAGATTATAAAAAGTCTGACAAAAAAGAGAGCCGGCAACAACATCAGCCGGCAAGAAAGGAAGAAAAGAGAAAAGGGGTCTGGGCAGCTGACCGATCAGGACAGCCGGCCCAGAAGATCAGGCGGAAGTCAGAACCGTATGCTCCCAAATACGAGTTCGCAAAAGATTGCTCCACCATCCTCCTGGAAATCAAAGACCGGATGTCTCTCGACAAACCGGCTGAAATGAAAAGCCCCGTGAATAAACGGGACAAGAGCAAGTATTGCCAATACCACGAGGATGTCGGCCACGACACCGATGGCTGCTATAGCCTCAGGCGGCTATTGGACCGTCTGGCAGATGAGGGGGCCCTAAAATCCTACCTACCCAAGGCTAAGGGTAATACCCAGGCCAAGAAAGGGCAGGCGGCAAAAACCGGCCCAGCAAACTCCGAGACGGATGAAGAGACCATCTTCACAATAGCAGGCGGTTTTGCCGGAGGGGGTCCTACCATCCGGGGCACCAAAGACAACATCAGGAAGCTGGTCAACTCAGTGGATGAGGGTCAGGCGTCGAAAGACATCTTTCCTGAGGTCCTTATTTCTGAAAAGGACCGGGGCAAGGTCAGGCGGCCTCATGATGACCCCATCGTCATCGAATGCAAGGTTGCCAACCAGAAGGTTGGCCGAATCCTAATAGACACCGGGAGCTCGTCTGACCTAATCAGTTATCAGTGCTTGACCAAGCTCAAGTACACATCCGGTAACATGCACCAGGCTCCTCACCCACTAGTCGGTTTTGGGGGTGGAGTAGTGCATCCGGTCGGAAGCATAGATCTTCCGATCCGGCTGGGTGAAAAGGGGCAAGGACGCCACATGATAGTCAAGTTTTTAGTTGTGGAGGAGCTGTCCGCTTACAACATGATATTTGGCCGTCCTACCCTCAACGCATCTAAGGCTGTCATCATCCCGTCCCTCATGTTGATCAAATTTCAAAAGGATGATGGTACAGTCGGTGCCCTAAGCGGGGACCAGAAGACGGCAAGAGAGTGCTATCTCTCTGACGTCAAGACAACTATGGGTGCAGCCGGCCAGGGCGAGCCCATAAATATTGATAACTGCGACCCAGCAGTCCCGGCTCTAAGGGCAGCCGGTATGAAAAGAAAGGCGGACCAACTGGCACCCGTCAAAAAGGAGAAATAGCAATCACTAGCCGGGGAAAGGTCAGATGACCAACGACCTCAGCCGGCTGGTGACTGCCTTGATGTCATCCTAGATGACAGCCGTCCTGAAAGAACAGTCAAGGTCGGGACGGTAGCCTTCGAACGGTTGGGAGAAGGCTTGCTCCAGCTGCTGAAGGAATTCAAAGACATCTTTGCCTTTGAAGTGGAAGAGATGCCAGGCGTCAGCCCGGATCTTGCTGTCCACAAGCTAGCCGTAGATCCCAAAAAGCAGCCGGTTAGGCAGAAAAAGAGGGATCATGGTGGAGAAAGATCTCAAGCGGCAGCGGCTGAGGTCAAAAAGCTGTTGGATGCTGGGTTCATTAGGCAATGCTACTACCCGGATTGGGTGGCAAATGTCGTTCTAGTAAAGAAGCCGAACGGTACTTGGCGGATGTGTGTGGATTACACAGATCTGAACAAAGCATGCCCAAAAGATAGCTACCCGCTTCCAAAGATTGACAGCCTAGTCGACTCAACAGCCGGCCATGCGTTAATGAGCTTTATGGATGCTTATTGTGGCTTCCATCAAATACCTCTCTGGAAGAAAGATCAGGAGAAGACGGCTTTTGTCACTGATCAGGGGTTATTCTGCTATACGGTGATGCCGTTTGGGTTGAAGAATGCACCGGCTACATTCCAGCGCATGATAAACACTGTTTTTATCAACCAGATTGGCAGGAATGTAGAGGCGTATATCGATGACATGATAGTCAAATCCAAGCTACAGACGGATCACCTAGCAGACCTGCGAGAAACCTTCACCACACTCAGGCGGCACCGGGTCATGCTTAACCCAAAGAAATGCGTATTTGGTGTTGAGTCTGGGAAGTTTCTCGGATTCTTGATTGACCAAAGAGGCATCGAAGCTAATCCGGAAAAAATACAGGCGGTAATTGACATGAAGTCTCCTCGCACTGTAAAAGAGGTCCAGAAGTTGACCGGTTGTCTGGCGGCATTGGGGAGGTTCCTCAGCCGGTCAGGTGACAAGTGCCTCTATTTCTTCCAGGCAATCAGGAAGAGGTCAAGGTTTGAATGGGGTGAAGAAGCAGAGGCGGCATTCCAGAGGCTTAAGCAGCACTTGCATTCTTTGCCAAGGCTAGTGAGCCCCCTACCCCGGGAGGTTCTGTACATGTACCTAGCCGTCTCTGATCACGCCCTTAGTGCCGTTCTCCTCGCTGAGAGAGACGGCATTCAGCTGCCGGTGTACTTCATCAGCCATGTCTTTAAAAATGCTGAGCTCCGGTACCCCATGATCGAAAAATTTGGGTTGGCCTTATTCGTAGCAGTCAAGCGGTTGAAGCCTTATTTTTTGGCACATCCGGTTGTGGTATA